TTTTTTTTTTTTTTTTTAACCTCTTAAGGTAAACCTTTACCTCCTACCATAATAAAAAATATTCTTGTGTGATTTCTTATTTTGGTAATCTGTTTTTCCTTATCTTTTTAGGTATATGTACTTTACCAATCTTCAGGAAAGGTCTCCCAAAATAGAACGGGCTGCTTTAGATGGAACAGAACGTGAGGTGCTGTTTTTCAGTGGCTTAAGTAAGCCAATTGCTTTAGCCCTTGATAGCAGGTTGGGCAAACTCTTTTGGGCTGATTCAGATCTCCGGCGAATTGAAAGCAGTGATCTCTCAGGTACTGAGGAAGTTTGTTCCCATGTTATTTTGAATTTTGAAGATGATTCATCAATAGCATTTGTATTTTTCTTGCGTTGTATTATTTTTGTACACATTGGTTTACATGCAGTTTTATCCACTAAGCACAGTGAGCATCAAGTTAGTTGGTGAAAGCTTTGCTTCAGCATTCATTCAGTTGTTTCCTTGTTATCTAAATACATGCTAGATTTCTTGATCTGTAATATCTCTCTTCTCCTTTCCTAGTTATTTTGCTATGTGACTGGTCTCTTTCCTGCTCATTTTTTTCTTCCTGAATGTTTCATAAATCAATTTTGACAAGCATAATTTTAAATATAAAAACATGATTTTCTGAAGCACAGTTTCTAAAGTCATTAGTTTATTTCAGGCTAGTTTTTTAACCTGTAGGAAAGGGGTTTCATTGTACATTTAATTCAGAATATAGTGGTGTTTGTATATAGCTGTAATCCTAGCACTGATGCTGAAACAGAAGAATCTCAAGTTTGAGGCCAGCATGGATTACATAGCAAGACCCTGACCTTGAGACAGGGTCTCACTATGTAGCTCAGGCTGGCTTTGAACTTGTGGCATTCTTCTTGCCCCACCCACATGCTGGGCTTGCAGGCATGCACTACCTCCCTTGGCTTCAAAAAATCTTTGTTTGTAATAGCTAAAACTTGGAAACAGCCCATTTGCCCATCAGTTGGAGACTGGATAAAGAAGATGTGGTTTTCTATAAAATGGAATACTACTCAACCATAAAGAATGAGAAATTAGAGTCATTCATAGGAAAATGGATGCATACTGAGAATATACTCCCAAATGAAATAAATAAGTCACACATGTATAAATACCAAATAGTTTCTCTGGTATGAAAAACTGTATTGGTACATAAGATCCTGATGGTATAATTGACACTGTGAAATAGGAAGAAAAGGGCTTAAGGTGTAGGGGAAGTGGGAAGGGTAGGGGAAAGGTAATAAAGGAAAAGAAAAAAAAAACATGAGAAAAAAATCTTTATGTCTAGAGACATTTATAGCGAAATGAATGCACATTGAGTCTATGATCTTAAGTGAGACTATTTGGTGTAAATACTGAATAGTTTCTCTGGTGTGATAAATTGAAAGTGTAAATGAGGACCTAAATGTATAATAGGTAATATAAAATAGGAAGAAAGAGTCCCAAGGGGAAGAGGAAGAGGAAGTGAGAAGAGAGAGGGGAAAGGAAAAAATACGAGAAAAGGAAAGGAAAACATACGAGAAAAGGAAAAAACAGAAACAAAGTCTTTGTAGGGAGAGGTGGAGGGGTTGAAGGAAGGGCAGGGGAATGGTTAAAAAAATAAGAATCAATATATGATGTACAGGTACAAACTCCCAATGATAAATGTCATATTGTATAGCTAAAATGTACCAATAAACTTAATTTTTTAAAAACTTTAAAAAATGTATGTATAGTACATATATGTACATACACAATAGATATATTCTAAGGGCATATATGTCTATATACTCCTTTAGAAATATGTAAACAGATGTACCTTGAGAAAGCCCTGGAATGTTAGCATACTAAAATGTTAAGGAGTATCTGATTGGAGTGGCACAAACCTGTAATCTCAGCACTCTGAGAGGCTGAAGCAGCAGGTTCACATATTGGTTCCTAGCCTGAGCACTTAGTCTCAACCTAAAAATAAAGGTCTGAAGATCTCAGTGCCAAGGCCCTAGGTTCAGTCTCCAATACCGGAAAGAAAATATTACTCTTAACATTGTTGGGATGGTTGTATCTGTGGATAACCTTTGTAATTTTTTCTTATATTTATAGAAAAAAAACTTCTGTGTTCAGTTTCCAGTGCCCCATTTACTTCCTCTGATTCCAAATATCTGCGTGCACTTACACAGATGTATTCACTTGCCTGGTGTAATATATTATTTCCCTCACCTGGTTTGTGTGACTCTTATATCACCTCTGATTTATAATTAATTATTTACGTCAACATTTAAGCTCTTTTATTGGTATTGGAGATAGGTTCCCTTTTTCTTTTTTTCTTCCCTTGTGGTGTTTTATTTTGTTATTAAAAGTAATACACATTCATTAAAGAAAACTCAGAAAATAAGAGAAAATTATCTGCAGCACTGTAACACATTAGTGAGTTGTCTTCTTTCTCTTTTTCTATATGCATGGGTTTTTCCCACCCTAATTATGAAATTGTTCAAACATCTGGAAATTATAGAATTCCTGCTATCCAGCCTTGTCGTATTTGGATGTTTGATCATATTTGCTTTTGGTCCTTTCCCTTTTCACTCTCTTGAAAAAAAACACTACAGAGAATTCTGAAGCCTTGTATTCCTCCCTGATTCTCTTCTTGTTGTCTTCCACAGAAATAACTTTGCCATGCATATTTTAGACTCTGTGTTTATTTTACCATATACACACATATATTTAAACCACCTTTGCTTTTGAGGTTTAATAAAATTGTATTTTTTGATAATTCACATTTCTTCTATAAATTGCTGTTCATAGGCTCTGTCCAGTTTTTTGTTTCCACTTGCTAAAAATTCGTTATTCAGGATATTAATTCCCTTTTTTAAGTTACTTATATATTGGAGGAGAATTGGCTTGTTTAAGAAATTTAATCTTCACTCATAGAGTTGGAGTATCCCTCCTTTTACCTTGGTCTTTGTGGTTTTCTCTAGTGATCTTATACTTGATTTGCAGGTTTAGAGTAGCCTTCTTTTGCTCATGGCATTAGACAAGCAACTCAGACTCATCCCCTTTTTTCTGTGTAATGAATAGTTTTTCAGTACCATTCACCAAACAGTCTGTCTTTTTCACTGTTTTAAAACGTCACTATTGTTGTCATATGAGATTCTTGTACATACTTGCCTCAGTTCTGTTGCATGTCTCTACTGTATTGCATAGACCCATGAGTCTCCCTTATCTTAGGATGATCATGTTCCAAGCCCTCCATTAGTTGCCTGAAACCATGTGTATTACCAAAACCTACCTATAATATGTTATTTCCTGTAGTCCTGCATCATTGCTACATAGTAACAAAATTAATCTGTGTGTATCTTCTCAGCATGATTTTCAGATTTTATGGTAAAGAGTGTATATGTTGTTTTCTCATGCTTTTAGAATCTTTTATTTTTTTGAGTTTATTGGTGCATTTTAGGTATACAGTACAGTCACATTCATTATTGGGATCTTGCGCCTTTACATGACAGGCCTTGGTTCTCATTTTTTCCCCTTATCCCTGCCCTCCCTTCGCCCCTGCTTCCCCTCCCCATTTACAAACACTTCATTTCCATTTTTTCATTTTCTCATATTTTTTTCTTTTCCTTTATTACATTTCCCCTCCCCTTCCCACTTTTCCTACACCTTTAGCCCTTTTCTTCCTATTTCACATTGTCTATTATCTCATTAATTGCTTTTAGAATCTTAACTGCTGTTCAGTAAATAACTGTTGAAAGTATAATTCGACCACATGGAATCATTGCTGTTGATTGTCTTCCTTTCCAAGGTGCCAACAGGATAGTATTAGAAGACTCCAATATCTTGCAGCCTGTGGGACTGACTGTGTTTGAAAACTGGCTCTACTGGATTGATAAGCAGCAACAAATGATTGAAAAAATTGACATGACAGGTAGAGAGGGCAGAACTAAAGTCCAGGCTCGGATTGCCCAGCTTAGTGACATTCATGCAGTAAAGGAACTGAATCTTCAGGAGTACAGTAAGTGCTGGAAGTAAAGCTAATTGGTGTACTCATGTTTGTTGTAAGAAATTAAGATGTACTTTTGTGTCTTCAAGATTTTCATGTATTTTTAATTTTGCATTTTTTTAAACTCGTGCTTTAGAGTTTTACAAAAAACTCAACTGAAAGCTTTTTCAAGTTAAACATCTCATAAAATGGAAGTAGGAGAAAGGCACAGTCTTGCTCATTTTAAATTTCCTGGACTAGTGGTGCACCTTAGTGGTAGAGTCTTTATTTAGTATGTGTGAGGCATGGGTTTCATTTCAGTACACAAAGAAAACCTGCTAGGTAGGATACAACAGCGACTCTGATTGTCATGCCTTTTGTTTATAAGTTTTGGTCCCTTTAGTATAAAATTTTTATTTTTCTTTTTCCCTCTATGCCCTTAACATTTCAAAGAAAATTTTTATATAATGATTAATATACTTACCATGGATTAACTATATTCTTGAAAGTAAAACAGACTAAAAATTAGTGTGAAAACCTAGTGAAGGGTGTGTTTAATCAGTCTTTTCTTTTCCTTAGGTAAAATTTTAAATTCTTAGCTTGGATGGTAGTGGTACTTGTTTTTACTATATTGAAATCTTTTGAAAGGGATAATCTTCTTTGCTTAATTTCCTGTTAATACATCGTGGTGCCAGAAGTGCTAATGATGGTGGGAGTGTAGTACTAGAAAACTGCTGAAGCTCCTTACCTTTCCAGCTAGTTCAGTACTTTCAGATGGAATTGAAGCTTGAAAGGTGAAAAAGGAGAATACCACAGGTCATTGAGGTGTTCATTGTGTTCCCTCCATTCATAAGATTACAAGTAAAATAGAAGTTTTTGAGAATTAGAAAGTTGGATATTTTGTCATTTATGATCTGATATATAACTTAGGGTGGACATTTAATTGAAATAAGATAATAATGACATAGTTCCTAAATTATACATACAGTTGCTATATGAATATTTGTCTTTGTAGAAAATAGCAGTGGATGTTTTCAGGATTTCAAGGGAGAGTATCTCCCTTTAGATACCTTGGCATATTTTGGTTTCATGGTGGGGAAAGCATTTTTGTGAAATTTCTGATAACTTCAAGAGAATGAGATTATTGTCTCTCAAAATTGCCGTGGAATTAAAGGTTGAGAAACTGCTGTGTGAGTTGTATATTCTAACAAGTGGTGTCTAGGAATGTCTGCTCCTTCGTCCACAGCTGACTCTTGGCCTCAACACAGGATCCAGTTTACTGTAGATGAGAGATAACACATGGTGAATGCCTACACCTTGGTATTTTGTGATGACAAAGTGTCAGGTTACTTGCAACACAGACTAAACAGAAAATTCAAAGCAGTCATTTCCTTAAATATAACTTGTGAAACACTGAAAAGTTGCCTAATAGTTTATTGCTTTAATTAAAGATTTTTAACTCAGGAATTCTGACTGAAAGATAAAATTACCTCACTTAAAAAATATACAAATAGGGTCAGGGATTTAGCTCAGTTGTTCTGCCGCCTGACTTGAAAGGACAAGGACCTAAGTTTGATTCCCGGAAAAGAAAGAAAAGGAAGGAAGGGAGGGAGGGAGGGAGGAAGAATATATACAAATAAGAGGAAATGAAACATTTGTAATAGTGCAAGTCACTTTCTGAATTGACAAATAAACTTGTCTCTTTCTGAATGGCTTAGTTCCATGTGATCTTAAGAGGCTTTCTCATTATACAATTTTCAGACTAGGGATTCAGTTCAGTGGCACCATGCCTGCCTTGTAAGCACAAAGTCTTGGGTTTTGACCCCTGGTACCAAAAACAAAACAAAACAATTTTAAAGTGAAATTGTTTTATCTCTTAGAATTTATTTTGTGGGGTGGCCCCAGGGATTGAACTCAGGACCTTAAGTTTTTGAGGCACAGGTGGCGCCACTGAGCTAAATCTCTGGCCCTATACAAAATTTCTGACTTGCAAATCTAATTTAGGGAAGAGTTCTTATATTTTAAAGAGAATAATATTCAGGTCTTAGGCATCTCCCCAAGCAGTTTTCCTTGTTCCCATAATCAGCTTTTATTATTAACAAAGTTAGCATAAACATATACCGTTATCTTGCTTACAAATTGTGTGTGTGTGTGTCTACCTGTTGTTGCAGTACTTGGGAGACTGACAGAGGAGGATCACTGAAGTGATCCGAGGAGTTTGAGATCAATCTGAGCAACATAGTGGGGCACATCTCAAAATACAGTGGATGGGTACATACATACATACAGATACAGATACATTCTTATAGATTTTGTGGGAATGGTGTGAGGAATTGTGTAGAAATTAAGTCCATGCTGAATCTGTAGTTGGTTTTCTTTGTGGTTCATAAAAGAAATTCATTTTGACAAGAGTTGTTCCTTTTTCCAGGACAGCACCCTTGTGCCCAGGATAATGGTGGTTGTTCACACATTTGTCTTGTAAAAGGTGATGGTACTACAAGGTGTTCTTGTCCCATGCACCTGGTTCTGCTTCAGGATGAGCTTTCATGTGGAGGTAAATATGTTACGATTTTCTTGTGCAAGCCTAAATGCCACCATATTCCATATCTTAGTCTAGCCTTCTGTGAGTAGACAGTGAAGCTGCTGTTTCTTATAACCTAGTTGGTTATTTTTGTTCTGTTTATTTGTACTTTACTAGGCTTTGGAATTATTTTTCCTCCTTACCCAAATCCTCTTTCCTGTGACAATTTGCTTCTGTTTTTAATCTCTGTTTGTGTGAGTTTTACATTCCACATACAAGTGTGTTGATGTATCTGTCTCTCTATGCCCTACTTATATTATTTAACATAATGTTCTTCAGGCTCATTTGTGACTGCAAATGAAACACTTTTTCTTTTCTTTTTAAAGGCTGAGTACTATTTCATTGCATATATGAATTGCCACATTTCAGCCTGAGAACAGCTGTAATTTCTGGTAATAGAATAGCAGCTTCCCTACCTCCCCAGATAGTAGTGAGATGAGTCCTGCTTCTTGCACTGTCCACCTACTGAATTCTGGATTCTGTCAGTGTGTGTATCACTGTTAGGAGTATGTCCAGTGAGAAGAATAGCCTTTTGTTCAACTCTTATCAGCAATTTCCTGTTGTTTTTCTTAATTTCCTATCAATCAATCAATTTTCAAGGAAAGGTATTACTGAGTATACTGGTAATAATACTATAGTGAAATTTGACCACATAAGAGGCATAACAGATTGGTACATTCCTTGTTTAAATCATGGTGTGATAGTATCAATTAGCATAATAATATTTCTTAATTCAGAAATCTTTATCTTGAGCATAATTGTAGGTTAATTCAGCTGAGTTTTAGAAAAAATATACAACAGTGTAAATCAACACCCAAATCAAGATGTATAGTGCTGCCACTAAGATAAGTACCCTGGCAGATGTAAGAGCATTCTGGCTAGGTCATTTGTCATCCCATTGGTCACCAGGGTTGATTCAGCTAAGGTGAGGAGGGAGGCGGATGTCCCCTTCCTCCCTCACCGTTCCATATGCGTCCCTCCTGAAGCTGCATGCTTGGTCTGTGAGCACGATCGCCAAGGAGAACTGTTTCCTCAGTTGAAGGAATATAAGTAGCTGCACTCCCCTGCTAGAACCTCCAAACAAGCTTTCAAGAAAGGTACCCTGGCATTTCCCAGGTGTAGTGATTCATGCCTGCAATCCCAGCACTTCAGAGACTGTGGCAGGAGGATTGTTTTGAGTTTGAGGCAGCCTGAATTACATAGTGAGACCCTCTCTCAAAAGAAAAAGGAAAAAGAAAAGGACTCTGATGTCCCTTGCCAATTTTCCTCTGCCAAAAATAACCACTAGATCATTAGCCCCGTAGAGTAGTTTTGCCTTTTCTTGAACATTGTCAGTGGTATCATAATATGTAATCTTGTGTTAAGATTTTATGGCATAATGTATTTTTGAGATTCAGTAGTACAGTTGAATGTATCATTGTATGATTTTTATTGCTGGGTAGTATTTCATGATATGACACCACAGTTACTCTTAGATGAGAATTTCAGTTTTTAGTTTTTGCTATAAAGAGTAAAACTGCAATGAACATTTATATACAAGTCTTTTTATAATTTAATATTGATTTTACAGTGGAGATAAATGAAATATAAAATGTAAAATTCTCTACCTGACCTTTAAAACTTGATTTCACTTTAAAGTGTCTTATCTATCTATCTCATTTTGTATTTCTTCCCAACTTGCTCACTATTTTTATTTGGCTGTTTGGAGTTTGAGGACCCCTATGGCATATTTTTGTTTTGTTTTGCTTATATAGATTTTCTTGTGATATTTCAGGGATATAATTCTCTTCTTGCTTGCCTGTCCTAAATCTTACTGTTTCCAAGTGGCATCTGGTCCCGTAATGATCTGTGAAAACCTCACTAGCTGCTGTTATCTCCACTATCTGAATTGTAGCACTTGTTACCACAGTTTACATGACAGGTAGTTAAAGAGTAATGTTGTCAGTTATTTTTTATTAGTCCTTATCTTCAGCCAAATTCAAAGGTTTTAAGAGCAGGAATCGTTTTGTCTATTTTAATTTTCTGTGCAACGTAGTATAGTTGATGAGTATATGCATAATAGGCTCTTAGAAAAGAATCCTTCAGATTCCACATGCAGTGTTCATCTATAACTTGTAGTGTTCTGTTTTAAAGATAAAGGGTTTTCCAGGTCATATAGTAAAGTTGGGTATTCCCAAGAGAATTGGCTAACAGTCAAGTTTTTAAAGAGCTCATAATACAGTACCAAAGGCAGTGGGCTAAACTGTAAGACACCGTCCCTCTTATTCTTATTGCTTTGTATTCATCCCTTGTTTATAAGAATCTCTGTGGCCTGGGGTAGTCACTTGGCCTCTCTGAGCCTCTGTGTCCTCATTCGTAAAATAGGAAAATTGAACTTGAGGGCAGTTCTCAAACTATTTGGTCTGAGTATATTTTTATATTATTGAGGGCCTCAAACAGGTTATGTTTTTATAGTTCATGTGTATCTGTATTTACAGTGCTAGCATTTAAAGCAAAGAACATTTAAAAACTATTAAAAATAACGGTAACCCTTTACCCACATTCATAAATGAAATATATTAAGAAAACAACTACAGTATATAGTTAAGGAAATACAACTTTAGGGAAAAGAATTTATATTTTTCACAATTTACATTTTTGTGAAGTTTTACATTTCTAAGTCTTTAATGTTGAGCAGTATTCTTACGTATATTTTGACATTATTTTGTAATAGGTAGTTTTTATTGAAATGTATGAACAAAATTTGGCTTCACACAGATAAGTAGTTAGAAAATAGACTCTAATAATAGCTTTTTCAAACAGTTGTGGATGTTCTTGGATTCTACACCAAATCTTGACAAGTTTGGCTGCAGCATGAAATTTGAAACCACATTTGTTAACTTTTCTTAATCTGTCTGTAAAAATGCACTGACCTGGCTGGGTGCAGTGTTGCACTCGTGTAGTCCCTGACCTGTGAGGCTGCGGCAGGAGGATCACTCGAGACCACCTTAGTCATTTGGCATTAGAATTTTATTCAGACATTTCCAGATCTTCACGTTTTGACCCATCTCATTATATAATCAAAAATGACGTTTGTTCTCTATTACCAATTTCATCAGAAAAATCTTTAAGTACTGGGAATCTGTGAAGCTTACAGTCTTAGATTCATGTTTACCACAATTGTAACGTTCAGTTAACAGCTTGAATGTTGTAATTTGCCACAAATATTGTCATTGTTTTTGTTGAGGTTAACAGGCTCACTTAATTCCTTTTTTAGAAATTCCCACCAGAAATCCAAGTGTAAATAACTATAGTTTATGTTTTTGTCATTTTTTTAGATGAAAATAGTGTTTGACTTTGATTTCCATTTAGCACTCAGATCCTTTCTCTTTAGAAACTCACCTGCTTAATTTTACAGCGTGAGCTTTGTGCATACTTCCATTTCCTCAAACACTATTAAAGAGACTTGTGCCCCGGTGCTGATTTTAATATAGTTAATGTTTCTTACTAATTCATCACGACCATGCTTGCGTGAAGCTGTCCTTTTAAGCTGTGAGTGTGTGGCTGTCTGGAGCCCAGGGACTGCTAGTCAGGGCAGTGTGATGGCCACGAGTCCACTGAGGTGTTGACAGTCTTCCCACCCTTCCTTTCGTGGTATCAATGTAAATGCAATGTAAGAAGCAAATGACATATTAGAATTATTGTAAAAATAGTGAACTGCACTAAGAAGAGGACTTAAGGATTCCCCGGGGGGGTAGACCACCTTTTGTGAACCTCAGAGATTTAAAAAAAAAAAAAGTGCATTCTAGGCCTACTTTAAAATAGTTGGAGGCTGATGATTATAGTGATTGTTCTCAGGTTATATGTGATTGCAGCTAGTATAACCATACTTAAATTACAATATGTGAGAAAACTCAGTTTTACCCATTTGTGAATCTAAAGTAGTAGAAAAACTTCTGATTAAATGAGATACTTTAAAATTATATTTTGTATATGTTAATAAATGGGCTTCACTTGGATGTAAATGTTTGTACTTTTGTGTGACCATTATTGTGCTTTTGTCATTCCCTCCCCCCTTGTTCATTTGAAGAGCCCCCAACATGTTCTCCTCAGCAGTTTACTTGTTTCACTGGGGAAATTGACTGTATCCCTGTGGCTTGGCGTTGTGATGGGTTTACGGAATGTGAAGACCACAGTGATGAACTCAATTGTCCTGTGTGCTCAGAGTCTCAGTTCCAGTGTGCCAGTGGGCAGTGCATTGATGGTGCCCTCCGATGCAACGGTGATGCAAACTGCCAGGATAAGTCCGATGAAAAGAACTGTGAAGGTATCCAAAATTCCTCCATGTCTGGTCATGTAGTCCTTTTTCATCAAGTTGTTGAAAATTTAGTATGTTACTTTGGCCCAGGTTAAATTTGGGGCCTTTCTGGTAACTTCCAATTTTCTTGGTCTTCTGAACTACATGAAACTATTTATATACCTATGGCATTGCTGTGTATATACCACAGAAGTTTAAGCATGCTTAGCCAGCACCCTACAGTTGAACCTCATCACAGGTAATACTATACCTTTTCTCAGATTTCAGTGGCCTTTGCATATACCCTGTAATGACTTTGGAATCATAGGGAATATTTGGAAACTTTGAAGTTTACTGTCATCACAGTGAAGCCCAGGGTTAAGCAGACAACTTGTGGATTTTAGACCTATGTTCTAAACTTTTTTCCAATTAAGCATCACTGGTATTATTTTTTAGTATGACATTTGAGCATATCATGAAGATAATGCCATGTTCCAAATTGTTTTAATTCATTTCATTTGCATGAAGTTTATACAGATCAGTATTTTAGTCAGCTTTCTGTTACTATAATTAAGTGCCCAAAGTTAATTAACTTTATAAAGAAAAAAGTTCATTTAGCCATAGTTCTGGAGATTGAAGGGCCTGACACTGACCCCTGGCCAAAAGGCCTCATGGCAGATGGAAACATGATGTCTGAAAGACTTAGGAGAGGAAGAAATCTCATCCCTAGCTAGGAAGTCAGAGTGATGGGGTGAGGTCAGGTTGCTCTTTTTATAACAATCTCTCTTGTGTTGTTGTTTTGTTTGGTACCAGGGATAAAACTCAAGACCTTGTCCTTGCGAGGCAGGCGACAGCACTCCTGAGCTAAATCCCTGGCCCTATAGCAATCTCTTTTGAAGGCTCAGAGTCCCTTGACCCTACCTCAATCCGTTCTGAGAACAGGACATTAGTGACCTACTAGGCTGCCTTCACCATAAAGATCCTAGCACCTTTGTACTATATAACACAGAATTCCGTGCTTCAGCACGTGAATATTGGGGGACAAGCTCACCCCATAGCAGTAAGGTCTGAAAACTGAGAAAGAAGACCAAAGGACCGGGTCATGAGTATGTAAAAATAGTCCCTGTTTGCAGTGAATTCTGTATTATTTGATTTATTATAGTCTAAAATATCATACTCTCTTCTTTCCTTTACTAATCTTAGCATTGTATAAACAAATAAAATCTATAGAATTCTTTTGGATAAACAACAAAAATTAATTAGTAAAAGAAAAAAATTTAAAGAAGAATGTAAGAAATGTCTTGCTGGATTCTTTTTTCTCTCTCTAGTATTGGAACCCAGAGACTAACGTTAAATCTAAAAATCTAGTGTGTTTTTCATTCATACTGAAAAAGCACCTTTTGATGCTTGATAGAATTTGGCTTTTCATGATGTTAAAAATGAAAAATTTATTTATATTTTTTTCCAGTGCTTTGTTTAATTGATCAGTTCCGCTGTGCCAATGGCCAGTGCATTGGAAAGCACAAGAAATGTGATCATAATGTGGATTGCAGTGACAAATCTGATGAATTGGATTGTTGTAAGTAGAAATGAAATCTTGTAAATTACTCTTGAGAGAATTTTTTTAAAATACCTTTTTCCTTTCTTTATAAATTTTATTTATAATAAAGCCTTCCTTATTCAGAAAAAACTTTTATTAGTAAACTAGTTATTTATGCCTGGGATTATTTTGTTTTATGGTTTGCTTTTATTTTATTTTCTTCCTTTGATTTTACTGCGTTTATTGGTACTTTTTAAGTATACAGAACAGTTACATTCATCATTGGGATCTTGTACCTTTACATGACAGATTTTGGTTCTCAATTTTTTTCTCCATACTTCTACCCTTCACCCTATGGTTTGCTTTTAATAACTCCTTAAAGATAGTAGTTTTCTTAGGCATGAAAATGCAGAAATATTTAGTAAAGTGCAGGGAAAAAAATATTGTGCTACAACTAAATTCACAAAATTCTCAAATAATTTAGATACATGAAAATCATTTGGTCTGCATCTGTCTCCATTGTTTTTTGTTTTGTTTTGTTTTGGTTTTGGTACAGGGGATTGAACCTGGGACCTTTCACTTGCAAGGCAGGTGGCAGCACTACTGAGCTAAATCCCCAGCCCCTCTCCCATATTTTCTTAAAAGTGTTTCCACAAGTTTCTCAGTGGCCAGAAGACTATAAAAGCTTTCATAAGCTGGGCGTGGTGTGCATGCCTCTAATCCCAGGGGAGGCTGAGGCAAGAGGATTGCTGTGAGTTCAAGACCAGCCTGGGCTACATAGTGAGTTCCAGGTCAGTCTCAACTACATAGTGAGACCCTGTCTCAAAACACCAAAAGAAAAAAAAAAATGCTTTCATAAAATACAGCCTGAGGATGTTGGGGCCAGTATATACCTGGAGACGTACAGATTGTAATTTCTGAAAGGTTCATAACTGTTGACCACCCTAACATACAATGTATCCAAAATGGATATACTGTATTAATTCTGTAGTTAATACTGAATGGAATTCAATAGTTTTGGTGGTTATTTAGAAAAATTCAAGTGGGATACTGTGAGTTTTTCAATTCTGTTTGTTCATTCAACAAGCTGTGTGCCGAATACTGTGCTGTATGCTGAGGTTACATAGCACCTACACCAAGGTTCCCTGAGTCCTCTATGGCTGAGAGAGTAGTAAAAATAAGAATTTTAGACTCAGGCACACCTCATTTGAATCTTAGCGCCGTCCATCACCAGCACGTTATTCTTGTTAAATCCTAGTTTCCTCATCATTAAACTGAAGATAATGATACCTCGCCAGGTGATTGTGAGAAAATTAACTGATTTTAATGTCTGTCTTATTTAGCTTGGGTGATGTATAGTTTAGCTCATAGTAGGTACTTTTGATAATGGTGTGATGAGAAATATATATGTAAAGTGCTACTAAAATCTCTATACAGGTGGTAGTACAAAGGAGAGTGTAGGTAGATTTGTAGGGATGGAATTTCAAGGAAGGCTTCATAGAAAAATGCTACTTAGGGCTGGGGATTTAGCTCAGCGGTTCGGTGGCCTGCCTCGCAAGCACAAGGACCCAAGTTCGATCCCCATAATGGTGTGATGAGAAATATATATGTAAAGTGCTACTAAAATCTCTATACAGGTGGTAGTACAAAGGAGAGTGTAGGTAGATTTGTAGGGATGGAATTTCAAGGAAGGCTTCATAGAAAAATGCTACTTAGGGCTGGGGATTTAGCTCAGCGGTTCGGTGGCCTGCCTCGCAAGCACAAGGACCCAAGTTCGATCCCCGCGGT